TTGCCCTAGCTGCGTGCTTCATTCCGAGGAACACTCCCTTCACGTTAATATCAAACACTTTCTGAAACTCAGATAAGTCTGCATTGCGGATGTCTGGACAAGGCGAACCTGTCACCCCAGCGTTGTTGACTATGATATCCAGCTTGCCATATTTATCAACAGTGAAATCAACTGCGCGGCTAACATCATCCTCTACCGTGACATCACAATGGAGATAACAAATGTTTGGATCTCCGTTGAGGGATTCGCACACTTGTAAGCCGAGGTTGTCCTGCACATCAACTAAACAAACTTTTGCGCCATGTTTGTGGAACAGGCGCACAATGCTTTCTCCAATGCCAGTGGCTCCGCCGGTCACCAGTGCCACTTTCCCTACTAACCTGAGGAGAAGGGAAAGAACTGAGCATCCATTAGGGAAACCTATCCACATAACATGGCCTTAAAATTGTACATATTTTATTTATTTCTCACACGAAATTGAGATAAAATTTTAGTATTGTGAATTTGTGACAATATGAGAAAGCCACGTTCAAAAAATTTAGCAACCGGTTTCAGATTCAGATGAATAAAAATTTCGAGATTTCAGTTGACCAAGAAACCTTGATCATTTTCAGGGGATTTTCATGTATATGATATACACCAGAATGTTCGGTCGTTAAATCTTTAATCGGGTATCCGATGACCAAGATCTAACGGCAAAAATCCAGGTGTATAAATCGTTTGGATGTGCTTTTAAAATGACTGAAAGTGCTTTAGATGAAAATATTTTTGAAACAAATTCTTAATAAAAATGCAAGTAAATTTGGAAAAATCACTTAAATACTTCCTGGAATAAGCGTGATGCTTCGCTTTTCGAACCAAAAAACACATTCACTACTACATAATCTGAAGGTATGCCAAGAGTGAAGCAAACTGTAAAAACCACAAAGGGAAACTAACACAAATGATTTTCCGCCGTTGGATTCAAACCCCAGATCACAGATTCACATGAACAATATAAGCAAAGCTGTATTTATAGTTGCAGATTTAACATCCAGAAAAAGCAATGAACAACAAAGCAGAAAACGCAGAAGTGGGTGGTGAGAAACGTATAGGAGAAAGAGAGGTAAGAGTTTATTACCTCTGGAAGCTTGGAAGTGAACCCGCTTGTTCAGTCATGGTGATGGACAAATCCTGACCTCTCTCTTTTTCTCTCTCTTGTTTGTTTGAATATATTCCTTTCTCTCCTCTCTGCTTTTCTACCTACCACGCTTTCCTAAACCTTTGTCGAGTTTGTCATTTCCTTTCTTGGGTGATCCCCATTTTATTAAAAAAATTGAGATTAGTTGCGGAGGACCTCGCTACTCTGCCCTCCCACTCTTCGTACACTTCCATCGTCTCCTCCTATTTGTACGGTTACAGTTAAATTATGTCAATATTTTATATTAATATTATTTTATAAAACATTAACGTGACTTAATCATGACCGCATAAAATAGAAAAAAATTTGAGTGTATAGGAAGTGGGAGGGCAAAGAAGTCAGGTCCAGTTGTGGAACCTTTTTCATATTTAACTTCAACGATTCAAATTGTTTATTTTGTAAGTCTCAATTTATAAATTATTTTTGCAAAAAATTAATTTAATTCGAAATTATTTTCTATTCAATTATCATGATGAAATTTCAATATTTTTCTTAGAATAAAATGTTCGTCAATTTTTATGAACTCAATTTGATGCCTCAAATATTTTCGATTTGGCTAATATTTTGTAAGCATGATTTATAAAGTTCAACTTAAAAAATAGATAATTCGAATCTTTAAAATTCGATATATGAGCCTTACAATTAATTCCTATTTATTAAAAATGAGAGTCCCTCCCTTAAAGACATCCTATAACTATTTAAAAATAATTCAACATCAGAGTAGACAGACATATGATTGCGATTTAAAAAATTTCACCCAAATCAACGTGGGTTTGTTTGAGAGCAATACTTCACATGGAATAAAATTATTTTCAAACTTTAAATCTCATTTCCAAGATCTTTGATCTAGATATATGTGCATTTCTAATTTCACGTTCTTGATGATGTATAGTTATAATTTTTCTCATCGATCCACTGTATTATTAAGAGTTTAGAATATTGATGTGTGGTAGAATGTATACAAAAATGAAACGTCGTGACAAAATCAAAGTCATTATCCATAATATAATCACTTTTCAAGGATCTCTTGCGAAACTTGAATTTGTATTAGTGCTTATCTTTTTATAGCGCTTGCTTATCTTTTTATAGCGCTTAAGATAAATTCAAGACTTTAAGCAACTATAAGTGTTGAAACCGGTTGGGATTGGTATCTCCAATGGTTGTTTATGATCATCCTTTCTTCAAATGAAAAACAATTAGTTTAGGGTTTAGAGTAGGCAGAGCGAAGACGACAAGAGCATGTGCATCATCTTCCAGTGGAGATGGTTGCATGATGAAGGTGGACCAGGACAATCGACCACTAGTGGGCAACTGTATTAGGCAAGCGGAGCCATCAGCTCTAGTGCAGTCAGCGTTGGAAAGAGACGGTCGAGGAGGAGAGGTGATGGAAGAAGACTGTTCCGAAACAGTCGGGGGATTAATATGATCGGCAGCAAGGGTAGCTGATATTTTCAACTGTGATGGCCCCGACATGACATGAAGAGATTATTCAATGTATTTAAAATGGTGACATCATATGATATTATATTTCATGACGAAGTTAATGAATTGGGTTCATTTGACATGTCCTATCATTAGAATATACAAGTCATCGAGCAAAAACATCCGTTGTAATAAAGTTAAAGAGACAAATGATCTTGTGTTGGCAAACCACACAGCCCTCAACACTTGGGTTTTGATGAGATGCGATGTGATTGGGGGATGGAAAAAAAATGATATTAGATATACATCAATTTGAAAGTGATTATGCCAACTATCTGAGGGTGTACATACGTCAAAATTCTAGCGATCTGTATATTCTAATTGTTTATCATACATCATATGATCAGTTTTCGTCAGATACTATTTGTGTTTAATTTTAAATAAAAAAAATCAAATGATTTCTGATCGTACGATACATGATGAATGATTAAATGTGGGAACCACGTTGCTTAATAGTCCGTTGAGCTGGACTCCCGCTTTCGTTGGCCTTTTTGATCTCATATGTATTCCGATTGAGGTTTAACTTTCATTCTTACAACTATCTTTTTAAAGCAGATAGTTCACAGTGCTCATTCTATAGATACTGTAAAAGCCAACCATGAACATCCAGCGCCCGTTATCTCCTCATCTTCCTATTTATAAGTCACAGTGCATTCGGCTCATTTCTTTTCTATTTCTTCTCAAATGTAATTGTTCATTGTACATCGTATAATCAGTTTTCGTCAGATACTATTTGTATTTAATTTTAAATAAAAAAATCAAATGATTTTTGACCGTACGATACATGATGAATGATTAAATGTGGGAACCACGTTGCTCAATAGTCCGTTGAGCTGGACTCTCGCTTCCAGTCGTTGGCCTTTTTGATCTTATCTGTATTCTTATCAAGGTTGAACTTTCATTCTTACAACTATCTTTTTGAAGCAGATAGTTCACAGTGCTCATTCTATAGATACTGTAAAAGCAACCATGAACATCCAGCGCCCGTTATCTCCTCATCTTCCTATTTATAAGTCACAACGCATTCAGCTCATTTCTTTTCTATTTCTTCTCAAATGTAACTATTCATCGTACATCGTATGATCAGTTTTCGTCAGATACTATTTGTGTTTAATTTTAAATAAAAAAAAAATCAAATGATTTATGACCGTACGATTAATGATGAATGATTAAATGTGAGAATCCTATGGGATCCAATTCCCTTTCCTAGGCAAGTGTTGGAATAAAAATTCAGCATCACCGTGAATAGTTGAAGGGAGTTTTAACGAAAAGTTCACGGTACTATTGACTTGAACGAAAAACCACATTTTTACACTAAAAAGTCAATCTTGGTACTATTCACTTTACTATTTATTTTGTTCTTATCATTAAAACTCAAAGTTTAGTTTTCCTATAGTTGAATTGTGTAAATTGACCATCTACAAACAAGAAGAAGCAACCGTAATTAATTTAAATTACCAGTGTGATATTGATTAAAGCTCTTCGACGGATATGTTAGTATAAATATTTTAGAATTCAATACTAGAGAGCAGAGAATGCACTATGAAAGCATTATACTAGTTGTAAGAGAGTTTATTTTATTTTATTTATTTATATAGAATTCATATTAAACCGGAAGAATCCTAAAATATATCTAGCATAAGATATTTGAATATAAGATCTAGAACCTTTGGATAGAAATACAACTAATCGTAGCAATGAGATATTTAAGTTCAGTTCCATTTCAACATTCACCTATTTTTCTTAACTTCGTTCTTCCCTTCGTACAAGTTTGTTGCTAAGTGTCCCTCTAGTTGATAAGTTTAGACGTGAAGATAAATTTACAAACTTGATTGGATTTTTTAAGCTAAGGTAGTTTGCCATCTCCTAAGTGGAATGCCACGTAATAAAATTTGAATGCATATACAAACTCCAACAGATATGCTCATTCTATGTAGATTGACAATTTTATTGTGTGCTGCCAAATTTGAGATATGAGAAAACTTGATGTAGAATTATTATATTTAAATGTTTTGTTGTGTGGATCATAATAATGCACTAATCATGAATCATGAAAGTTCAGTTTTTATTTATTTATTTTGAAGAGCGGGTTCAACAAATATTAATTGAATAAAAAAAACATATGGGTTGGAGTAAAAGAAAATTTGACATTGCTGCATAAGCCTACAAATTTGCATTTGACATTTTTTTAACATCTTTATTGGAGATTGACACGCCCCAATCCCGATGTCCAGGGGACAGAGGGATGGCCATGTGCTGGCCGACACCTAAACATGCACATAAATTTCGCGCGAACTACATCTAATATTCAAATACAAACCTTTCCAAAATAATATAATAAGTTCAATTGTCAATAAAATAAAAATGATAATGAATGACATGTTCAGAGCATACTACTAATTCAAAATACAAGCGGAAAGTGTAATAAAAAGTGCTATTACAAGAATGTCCAAGCAGAAAGAAGGACACAAAGTCACTGGTATGAGAATGTCTCGTAGCTCGGACAGTATGCCTCGTTCCTAGGCCTTGAGGGGGCGCAAAACAAAATATGAGTGGACCAAGTTGATATATAAGTAATACTGAAACAGTTATTCATCAACGTATTAACCCCCAAAGTTTATGAAAACTCAGTAGTATAATATGTAATAGGTTTTTTGAAAACCTTAGCATGCCATAAATTATTTCATAAAACATATATCGTATATAATGTGCTAAATAGTTGTATCATAATCGACCGAAGCCACTACATCACCCGACTGAAGCTAAATATATGAATATCTTCTTACCTGTAGGCCACTACATCACCCGGTCAAAGCCAACATAAGTATCATCGCCTATAGGCAGAATAATGACCACTAGATAAGCACAAAAACATTGAATACAATATTTCCAACATAAGTACATATATCTTAAGGAGCTTAGTAGCTCAAACATCATATCTTAAAATATCTTCATAGTATATAGTCATCAATCATATATACTACAAAGAACGTAAAAATCAATAAAGTATGGTATTCCAAAATATTTTTAGTAAAACCATAAAGTGTAAATCTAATTTACTCATAAACGTTTCATAAAACGTAACCATTAAATCATGTTTTTCATGTATGCATTTCTAATAGTAAATCATGCATTTTGGAAGGGGTCTACTCACAGATACTCCTTTGTTGAAAAGCCGTGCGAAATAAGAGGGACGGAAACGCTGCTAATAATCGCACCTAAGCACATAAAGGGTCCAATTAATAAAACTCTATCATAACAATTGAGTTTCTGAAAACGGACGTCATAAATGGAATTAGGACGTCGAAAAACATAATGAGGGACCTCGAGTACGACCACGCGCTGAGATGGGTCGCCGAAAAAGTCTCTGGCGCCACTGTGGACGGCGATGGAGCACAGTACCTTCAGCGAAGGCGCCTATGCTCCACGCGCCGGCATAAGCGGCCCTTCACGCACGCCCACACGCATGCCCACGCGTCACTCACGTGCGGCTTGGGCTTGGGTTCCCTAAGGTTTGAGCCTGGGGTTCATTGGGCCGAAGGCCCGATTTGCATGGCCCAAAGGCCTAGTTTGGGTCTCAGGTTTAATGGGTTGGGCTAGCCAATTAGGTTGGACAAAGGTGGTGGGACGGGTTCGACCTGTTTTCAAGCCAAGGTTTGGCCGATTTCTGGGCACAAATTCAAACACCTATAACTTTTTCATTATTCAACCAAATTGAGTGATTCAAAAACCAAAGTTGTAGTACTCAACAAGATGAAGAGAATGGTAACTTACATGATGGCTAACTCATCCTGGTTTGGCTAGGAAAATGCCTCGAAAGTGGCAGGTGCTCGCCGGAAAACTAGGAAAAGCTACTCCAAGCTATTTTCTACGATTAACACGCATATACTACTTAAAACAAGCTTCGATCTATCCTTAAAACAAATCCTAAGAGTTTCTAGAAGTTTACCTTCGTCGAAAAATTCACAAAAATTGCCGAAGTTCGTCGGGTGAGGGTGCACCATGGCTGTCATGGTTAAGGTGCCATGTTTTTTGCTAGGTTTCGAGGTTCAACGTCCAAATCTTGGGATTGTTGTAGTGGTGAGAGTGAGTTCAGAGAGAGGAGAGTGAGATCGCAGAGAGAGTGAGAGAAAGATCTTGGGGAGAGCTAGAGAGAAGAAGAGAAAGTAAGGAGAGAGAGTCCTTGCAAAAAAAAAAAAATTAGAAAAAGAAAAAAGAGGGGAGGGGGTCACGGATGGAAAAGAAAGGAGGGGACATATGGCCCTTAGTGACTCACAAAACAAGGTCACTAAAGACGAAACACAAAAATATCCGAAAACGTTTGATGTTTCGAACATAAAATCTTCGTTATAGTTCTGAATTCAAATCCATTCACGCCTATGCATTTGTGGCAATAAGTACAATAAGAATAATTTAATAAAATTAAAACTACGCGTTTTGATGAGACGGTCAAACAAGTCAACCCAAGGGTAATTTAGTAATTTCATAAATCCGTTAATATGAAAATACACTAAATTTGGGACGGGGTTTCACAGAGATGCTCTTAGGAAAAAAATTGGCATTTAAGAGATATTAAATGTAGAGTAATGCTAAAGAGACTAAATTTTTAAATCAAATTTTATAAATCAAATGATATGAATTTCGCTAGTTATTACTACAGTTTAGTAGTATTCATTTTTATTTATAAGTTTATAAGTGAGAGATCTTACCTTCAACAATCTTTAATTTTGTGACGAGTATTTATCATAAATGGCTAAAATTTAATCCTCAATTTCATAAATACCAGTTTTTCTATATAATTTCAAATTTAGCCAAAATTACACTTAAAAAGACTCAAATACCCCAAAATAAAAAACAATATAAACTTTAAAGCCTAAACCCTCTTGGACAAAAGTATGCTACTTTTGTTTTGGCGATTCATTCACCAACAACAAAGTATGCAACTTTTGCAAGCTAATGAATGGATCTGGATTCACTGGGTAAAAATTAAAATCGGTATATATGAACCTATTAATTATGGTCATAGTTCTTTAAAAAAAAAAAAAAATCTAGCGAAGAAATAAACCTCCCTTTGATGCAATACCCACCCATACCACACACAGAGCAACTGAATTTTATGACTTGTCACCGGAAAAATCGACGGCAACTGGATCCACGAAGTTGATTCGGTTTTGGTGGGAAAGAAAATTAAGAAAACCCACATCAATGATAACTCATATAACAATAGAATAATTAAATGAAATCACCAGTAAAACAAGCCAAAGAGCTCCAATCAAACTCCCATATTACGGTTAACTTGTATTGATTAAAAATATTTACTTAAAAGTTTCTTTAGGATTCAAAGGATTTAGTTATATTTCCATGGTGTTGGAACTTTCCAGTAGTCAAGTTAGTGTTTTTCGATGACAACCAAAGAGTATGGGAACTTCAAGGATTTTTACCAACGAATAACGTCATGGTTTGTCATAACACATTTAGTATTATACTTTTTTGGTCATTTCAAATAGTCATAACTGTTTTACATAAAAGTTTACTAAACATTATCATCTGCTTTTTTTTTTTTTTTTTTTATCAAAAGCATTTTTACAAAAAAATTTATCAAACACTATACTAATTTATTTTACAAATACAGCAGAAGTAACTTTTTTTCCAATCAAGCAATACCAAACCAACCTTTATTTTAAGAGTCGAGAAAACTCAGCATTTTAGTGTGAGCACACAAATATGGCTTCCACATTAAAGGATAAGTTTTGGCTATATAAATTGTATTTCGTAACACTCATTGAGAAGTTAGCACTCCCCAACACAAACAGAGCCAAGATTCAAAAACCCGAATATCTAAGCCCTAATTTTCCCAAAAACCTCAGCTCTTTTAAAACCCCAAAAACCTAACTTGGGTTTTAGATCAGCGAGCGAGTGGCAATGACGAAGGTGTATGGAACAGGGCCGTACGATTTCAAGCGCCACCATGTCGCCGAGTACCCGCTCGAGTACCCGGTCGAGGCCAAGCCCGGTTCGGCGCTTCCTAGCTCGATAACGCTGTCGGAGATTCAGCGGGACCGGCTCACGATGATTGCCGCCGATAATTGGTCCAAAACCCTAGACGCGTCGAAGCCCAAGAAGCCCTTCGAACCGGAGCTAGTGAAGGTGATTTATCGGACGGAGTTGTCAGTTGAAGAGGGTCAGAGAAGGGCCGTCCCGTCACAGAGGGTGATGATTCTGGAGGTCAGTCAGTACTTGGAGAACTATCTGTGGCCAAATTTTGACCCCGAAACCGCGACCTTCGAGCACGTTATGTCCATGATTCTCATTGTCAATGAGAAGGTACTGTGTTTTGTAATTGTAATTTTTATGTTTCTGTACTGAGATTAGGGTATCGCTGGTTGCTAAGAAGCTGTTGGCTAGAAAACTAATCCAAGTAGTTATTTTTCGGGTTAGATAGTGGAACGATTCTTTCATTTTTCTGGTAGTTGCTCCCCAAAATTTGGTCCTGAACGTTGAAATTATTGATATGTAGCATTTATAAACTGTTTTAATGGTTATGCATTTCTTGGTAATATTGCAACTAACAATTATGATTGAACTTGTGTATCTCAACTTTGGAATTGCAGTTTCGAGAGAATGTCGCAGCTTGGGCGTGCTTTTATGACCGGAAAGATGTGTTCAAAGGATTCCTTGAGAGGGTTCTTCGGCTTAAATCGGTTTGTGCTCGTTTTATCTGATTGCCATATTTCCTCATGCATGAATAATGGTCAATAGGATTGCTTCCTCATGTATGAATAATGGTGAAAAGGATTCTACTTTAATCCTAATTTCATTATCAAGAAAATCAGTATTAGTGACGTGTATTTGGTGCTATGAAACTTAAGTAACAATCATAGTTTGTGCATTATAGTATTGGTATATTAATATAGTTGGAGTGGTTTGTGTGATTCCTTCTTCATGATGATGAAACATTATCAAGGACAATATATCCTCGAGAGGAAAAACCAAAACAAACTATCATTTACCTACATCAGAAATACTACAAAACGCTTTGAAGACATATTAAGAAATAACATCATGCATTTGAAAATATAACATAAACTGAGCTCTCCTTAAACTCTGAATCTCTGATGACACTGATCCCCAAAGGGAGGCGCACAAGCAAACCCTCTCCAACAATTAAGCCATCTTCTCACCCAATAGTGCTTTTGGATTTTGGCTTGTGCTGGCATGTTCTCATAGTAGTGTCCCACTTTCTGTTCTCCTGTCTATTTTTTCATATGATTTTGTCCCAAAACTTGTACCTGGTGAGTTTTGAAAAGTGGAATGGAGAAGTTTACAAAATCTCTATTGTTTTTCTAACTGAATACTCTGGTGATTCTCTCCATAAGTTTGTTGCGTTCATGCATAGCAATCACACCTTGTTTGGTTTTTATATGTTGACCTTTGGTAAGCTTACCTGCTGGTTCACAATTCATATGTTCTGTATATGATTACGGACATGGTTGCCATGCTCATTGCATTTTAATCAATTGTGGTCCACTTCGTAGCTGTTTCGTTTCGTGCTTGCTTTGAGATATACACTGGTAGCTTACTTAAAGTATAAACAGTATCAAATTTGCATGATGTATGATGAACCATCTGGTCATCGAGGATTCAGAAACTGATAGATGCTAATATTTGACTCAAGGTCAACAAAGTTGCTTTATGGCCATAAATATAATGTATGTATGCTAGATTTTTTATTTTTTGTGTGTTTTTTTAGGAGAGGAGGGAAGGTTACTAAGGAGATACATTTAATTTGAATGACTTCTTCAGGTGTTTTATGTTTCAGACTTAAATTGATGCTTTTATGTTTGCAGGGAAGAGAGTTAAGCATAGCTGAGAAGACAAATTATTTAGTGTTCATGATTAATGCCTTTCAGGTATGGTAGCATCCTAATGTTTGGTTTTATACTTTATCCAATATGTCTAGTTCTAGAAAGATTTGTGGGCGGGCTACTTCCCATAGAGGGGTTTATTAGTTTTTACATCCATAAGCATCAGTGTATTTATCCTTTCTCTAGTTTGTTAGTCTGGACAGTCTGTTTCGTAAGTCCAGAAACATTCATAATTTGCTTTTGTCAACTGTAGGTTGCTGTTCTTGTCTGCTTGTTTTATATTTTCAAATTATTCGTCATAAAATTTATCTGAGCATAAAAATTTATTCAAGTTCTGGTTTTGGCTTCAATGCTGACACATCTTATCTTTTTTACATAAAGAGATAAGATACCTTTTGTGCACATCATCTGTTGTTAATAGTATATGATTTGACCTTAGTAGAAGTTTAGCTCGAACACATGGTTCAGTTATCTTGACACAGCATCAGTTTTGTATATTGGTCATATGTGTAATGAGATTAATCACTGAATGTAGTTAAAAACATACAATTAAGTCTTGATGCACTTATTTCGTTTAAGGATATGAATATTGTAGTGAAGTACTCAATTGATTTGGGTGATGCGGCAAAGTACTTAATATTATACAATACTGAATTTATTTATTTATTTTTTTTGTGACAGAGTTTGGAAGATGAGATCGTGAGCGATACTGTCCTTAGGTTAGCAAGTTTGCAATCTTGGCACAGTCTGTCGTACGGTCGTTTTCAGGTAACACATATGTTGTCTATTTTGAAAATATGTTTCTGTTATCATCCGAATTTTTATGTGACCTGTATTTTATCGTGCTTGATTTTCATTTTCATTCGCAGATGGAACTTTGTTTTAATCCTGATTTGATCAGGAAATGGAAAAGGATGATCAAGAGGGAGGCCAAAGAGGCTGCAAAACGCGGAGATGCATTTGACCCTTCAACTACACTTGAAGTTCAGTTCTTGAGAAACCTCATTGAAGAGTTCCTTGAGGTTGTATTTCACACTAATAAATTCTGAGTAGTGCTTTGTGGTCTTTGATTGTCAATACTGAGGAATTAATGAAATTTTTAATTTTATTTTCGTGCCTGTTCTAGATACTTGATTCCAAGGTTTTAGCCCCGGATCCTAGTATGAATGAAGATTATCACCTTGCTGATGCTATGCGTGTCGATGATGCTTGTGTTTTGTACTGTGAGAGGTTTATGGAATTTCTTATTGACCTCTTAAGCCAACTACCAACAAGGAGGTATATTTTGCAAATATGTTCATTTCCTTCCCCCTCTCTGTTTGATGCTCAATTTTTGAACAGATAGTCAGTTTTATCCTATTGCCATTATATGTTTGGATCATGAGAGTTAGAGCTGTCAGTCCTTCATGCCCTATAGTTTTTCTTCTCTATTTATTACGTTGTTTCTATCTTGTTGTGATTGTACATTGTTTCTATCTTGTTGTGATTGTAGGTACTTGAGGCCGCTTGTTTCTGATGTGGCTGTAGTTGCCAAATGCCACTTGAGTGCTCTGTATAGACACGAGAAGGGGAAACTCTTTGCACAGTTGGTCGACTTGCTGCAGTTTTATGAAGGATTTGAGATTAATGATCATGTTGGGACACAACTGACAGATGATGAGGTGCTTCAATCTCATTACGAACGCGTGCAATCTTTCCAGCTACTTGCATTTAAAAAGGTTCCTAAGGTCTGTATATAATCAGAGAAATAAAGAGACTTTGGTTTAAAGGAGTTGCTGCATTCTTTTCTCTGTTTTCCTCTATAGATTGGTGCTAGCGTTCTGAATATTTCTCCCCTTTTTGCTTGTAGTTGCAAGAGCTTGCATTGGCTAACATTGGTTCGATTGACAAGCGCAATGATCTCTCAAAGAAATTGTCTGTTCTTTCTCCTGGTGAATTGAAGAATTTGGTTTGTTCAAAGGTATGTATGACATTGATAGGCATGCTAGTTAAGATTCCATAGTTTGAAATTTTTTTCCCTGGATTGGTATTTATTTCTGCTAGTGAGTACTCAAGTGAAGATTGTCTGTCCATACCTTTTCTGTTTTGAGGACATACATGTTGCAATCTGTATTTTCCTTTGTCTCTGAATTAGCTAATTACTTGCTTGAGGAATGTCAGCTTTCCAATTTACTGTTCTCCATTTTCTCTCTTTTCTTTTCGGGTGTGTGCTGAGTTATGAACTCATCACTATGGATATTGTAAACTTCTGTTTTACTGATATATTTTTCTGTTTTGCAGCTGAAGCTGGTTTCAAGGGATGATCCATGGTCTGAAAGGGTTGATTTCCTTATTGAAGTCATGGTTTCCTTTTTCGAAAAGCAACAGTCTCAAAAGGAAAAAATAAATGCCCTTCCACTGTACCCAAATGAGCTCATCATGTGGGATGAAAGCCTTGTGCCAAGCATCAATTACTCTGGAGAAGGTTGTCTGGCCCTTCCAAAACTGAACTTACAATTTTTAACATTACATGATTATCTCCTCAGAAATTTCAATCTCTTTCGTCTCGAATCAACATATGAGATTCGTGAGGATATTCAGGAAGTTGTTCCGCATCTTCATGCGTACATTAATAATGAAGGAGAAACTGCTTTTCGTGGTTGGTCAAGGATGGCAGTGCCGATCAAAGATTTTAAGATCAGTGAGGTAAAACAGCCAAATATTGGAGAAGTCAAGCCAGCTGCTGTGACAGCAGAAATTACTTTTAGCATTTCTAGTTATAGAGGACAGATGAGATCAGAATGGAATGCTCTTAAAGAGCATGATGTCCTTTTTTTACTTTCTATTCGTCCTTCCTTTGAGCCTCTAAGTGCAGAAGAGGATGGCAAGGCGAGCGTGCCCCAGAGGCTTGGTCTTCAGTATGTACGGGGTTGTGAAGTCATCGAGATTCGTGATGAAGAGGGAATTCTAATGAACGATTTTACTGGAAGGATTAAACGGGATGAATGGAAGCCTCCAAAAGGAGAACTGAGAACTGTGACCGTTGCTTTAGATACAGCACAATACCACATGGATGTCAGCAACATTGCTGCAAAAGGCGCAGAAGATGTTTATGGGACATTCAATATATTGATGAGGAGAAAGCCCAAGGAAAATAACTTTAAAGCAATTTTGGAATCCATTAGAGATCTCATGAATGAATATTGTATTGTTCCGGACTGGTTGCACAACATTTTTCTGGGGTATGGTAATCCTTCTGCTGCACAATGGACTAATATGCCAGATCTTTTGGAAACTGTGGATTTTAAAGATACTTTCCTTGATGCAGACCATTTGAAAGAATGTTTTCCAGATGATCAGGTTTGCCTATATACTGTCTTTATTTCTGATGTCTCTGGAATTTTTTGTTTGTCTGTCTGTTCTCCTGGAGGGTGATCTGACTAATGACTTTCTTGTTTACATGTTCACTATTTAGGTTTGTTTTATTAGTCCAGATGGCACAGAAAACTTGAATCCAAGGCCTCCTTTTCGAATAACACTTCCCAAGACGATGAGAAGCAACACCAATGCTCTTCCAGGGAATAAGAAATCTACTAATGATGTCCCCATGGATAATTCCGATAGTGAGAAAGAAAAAATTGTTGTTGAAGCATACACACCTCCTGACCCAGGTCCGTATCCCCAAGATCAGCCAAGGAAGAACTCTGTTAAATTTACACCCACTCAGGTAGTTATTCCTTTTTTTTACCTTGTGCAGCTATATATTATGATCATGTACAGTCTGTTTTCTTTTATTGCAATATACCAACTTGTAAACTTGATGTAAAATCCTTGGATGAATAAGAAACCATTAATAAAAACTACATTATTAAGGTATAGGTAATTAAGCTTTTTTACAGTTTCAATGATTCTGTTCAAATCACATGGTAACACCATACTAGTAATATGATATATGAATTTGTAGGTTGTTCTACTTTTAGATATTTTTCCCATCTTTTAGTTGTGAAGTTAAAGTAACAAACTTTTAATTGGGAAGCAATGTTTTTGCCATTTAGTCTCTGTATTAATAATTTCTAATCATCCTTGTTGTGTAGGTTGGAGCAATCATCTCAGGTATTCAGCCAGGACTAACAATGGTCGTGGGTCCACCTGGTACAGGAAAAACTGATACCGCTGTCCAAATTCTGAACGTTCTTTATCATAATTGTCCGTCTCAGAGAACATTGATAATTACTCATTCAAACCAGGCTCTAAATGACCTTTTTGAGAAGATTATGCAGGTTCATATTTCTATCTTTTAGGGTGTTAATTCCTGCCTATAGCTATTTTCTATGTTGTCACAAGCTTTTAATATTTCCCTGTTTGCTGTTTTAGAGGGATGTGCCTGCACGCTATCTTCTTCGACTTGGGCAAGGAGAGCAAGAGCTAGCAACTGATCTGGACTTCAGCCGACAAGGTCGTGTCAATGCCATGCTTGTGCGGCGCTTGGAGTTGCTAAGTGAAGTAGAAAGGCTGGCTAGATCACTCCAGTTGCCTGAGGATGTAGGTTATACATGTGAAACTGCTGGGTACTTTTGGTTGCTTCATGTTTACTCGCATTGGGAGCAATTCCTTGCTGCTTGTAAGGAGAATAAAGATAAAACATCATTCGTTAAAGATCGTTTTCCCTTCAAGGATTTCTTCTCCAACACACTGAAACCAGTCTTTACTGGTGAGTCATTTGAGAAAGATATGTGGGCAGCCAAGGGTTGCTTTCGTCATCTGAAGACCATGTTTCAAGAGCTTGAAGAGTGTAGGGCATTTGAGTTACTGAAGTCTACTGCTGATCGAGCAAATTACCTGATGACCAAGCAGGCAAAGATAGTTGCCATGACATGCACTCATGCAGCTCTAAAGAGAAAGGATTTCCTTGAGTTAGGTTTCAAGTATGACAACTTGCTCATGGAAGAAAGTGCTCAAATTTTGGAGATTGAAACTTTCATACCAATGTTGCTCCAGAGGCAGGAAGATGGTTATGCTCGGCTTAAACGCTGTATCCTGATTGGTGATCATCACCAGTTGCCTCCTGTTGTTAAGAATATAGCATTCCAAAAATACAGCCACATGGATCAGAGTCTCTTTACTAGGTTTGTACGTTTGGGCATTCCTTATATTGAACTTAATGCCCAGGGTAGAGCCAGGCCAAGTATAGCCAAACTGTACAACTGGAGATACAGAGATCTGGGTGACCTTCCATATGTAAAGGAGGGTGCCATATTTCATAGAGCAAATTCTGGATTTTCCTATGAATACCAGTTGGTGGATGTGCCGGATTACAATGGCAGAGGTGAGTCTACACCTTCACCTTATTTCTTCCAAAATGTGGGGGAAGCAGAATACATTGTCAGTGTCTACATTTATATGCGTCTACTTGGGTACCCTGCAAGCAAAATCTCCATATTGACCACTTACAATGGCCAGAAGCTTTTAATCCGCGATGTTATCAACAGACGTTGTGCTCCTTATGACTTCATAGGCCCTCCCAGCAAGGTAAGAATAAGATCAACACTTTCACTATGCAATTTGCAGATTTCATTGACCTTTAAAATGCGTTAGAATGTGAATGTATCAAATTGAACATCAGGCACACTAATGAAATACAAACGTAGTAGATGTTAAAGAAATAAGAATTGAACAGTCCATTTGTGAAATCTAAAGGTCTGTCAACAAGTTGGTGTCTCTGTAGGCTAGTTTAGTTCTCGTTGATCCCTCGGAACAAATGGCCAGGGACCTGTAAAGTGTCTTATATGGTATTGTTAAGGCATTTGGGCTTTCTGACAGTTCTGTCAGAAATAAGTTTCATTCATCCTTACCCATTAGCTCTGCTAACTTTGCAATTTTACGCTGTGTGATCGCTTTAGTAAACTATTGTTTCTGTTGACCTTTGTGATCCCATTGGTAAAATAATGTTTTAATTGTGCACTGTTATCAGGTTACAACAGTTGATAAATTTCAAGGTCAGCAAAATGACTTTATACTGCTCTCTCTTGTGCGTACTCGCATTGTGGGTCACCTTCGTGATGTTAGGAGATTGATTGTTGCAATGTCTCGTGCCCGACTGGGTCTTTATGTGTTTTGCCGTCGTTCTTTGTTTGAACAATGCTACGAACTTCAGCCTACATTTCAACGTCTACTTCAGAGACCTGATCACCTTGCCCTTAATTTGAATGAGATTACATCAAACACTGAGCGTCACGTTGAAGAAACTGGTCCTATTCATCTTGTCAGCAGTGTTGATGAGATGATTGGTATCTACCAGCAGCTTTATGAGGTATGCTTTCCTGTGGTGCATTCAATTTTTCTTTTTCGTCATATTTTGATTTGAGGAGCAGATGGTGAGCGGGTAAATATTAAAAATATCTTGATTAGTGGGAGTACCCTTTGGACCTGCATAAGGGTATCATCCGTATTTATGAATTTCAATCCCATGCAATTAAAATCAAATTGTAAGTTGGTCTCCTAATATGAATTTCAATCTCAAGGTTTCTAAGCCTTCACTTTCCTACATATTCATTATTTAAACATCGGGGTCATCTCCCTATATCTGATGCCCTTAAAATTAACTACCCTCCAAATTTTAAAATATATTATTTAAACGTTTCTAAGCCTTCACTTGTGTGTATTTGCTAAATTTCAACAAATTTGACTTGCCATGACCGTGCCATTTTTTATTTGTGGTCAGTAGAGTGAAAGGTCCATGCGATTTGACTCAAAATTTACTAATTGACTGGAATTTTCTTAATTCTTTTTTTTCAGGTAAAGTTTCATCAGTACATGCCTTATTCAGGTCAAGTAGGTGAACTCCTTCCGATTGATACAGATGCGCACCATCCCATGGATACAGATATGCCTGAAACTTCCGAAGAGGCACCAGAGGATAATGCCCAGCATGGAAGCAATATGGAAGAAGACACTAAAGGCGATGTCGTTGCCAATGGGCAGAACACAGAATCATCATTCGAGAACCATTCAAATGGGGAGACAGATGCTAAAGCTAGCGTGCCACCCGAAAGCAATTCTGATGAAACAGAATTGGAAGGGTAGTGCTCGACAGTGGTCCCATTTGGATTTTATTTTGTGTAATCTTCAAATCTGCTAATCTACTCGAGTCAAGTGCAGTCCTTTCGTTGTATGGATGCCACTCATGAACGCCCCAATACACCTCAGATTATGCTGCTCTGGTAGCTAGTGAGCCTGCAAGTGATGACTAGCTTGTGAGCCAGTAGTAGTAAAGAAGCCTAGTCTCTCTAAACGTTAACGGCCACACTTGTGCCGTGTGGGGATGTTTGTTGGCGCTTGTCGGACGAAGAAGTGGATTCTGAGGTTTGGAAATTAATTTGAGAGTTTTTCTGTAGAGTCCCAAATGTATGCAGAAACCATAGGAACTCTACATGTTTTTGGCTGACTGTTTCTAAAGTAGGTGAAATCCTTCTGTAGCATTGACACAACTGTATCTTCGACGATCTTTACGATATATTAGCTTGCAAATGAATTAAGATGTAATGTTGTGGGATGGACGTCATTAGTTGCTTAGTTACTTGATTACAGGTTGCGTTTTAGTTTCTTGATTACTCGTTGCATTTTCCGGCAGCTATTTCCGGTCGTGCCATTGCCATATGTTCGTTATGGTCAAGAAATTCATGATGCTACAACTTGGACCACAAACCAAACACAGGAACGTAACCCGAAGCACAGACGAAAATATAGAAACACCATATTTAACATGGTACTTAGGCATTAACAGTGCATCTTTCTTAGTGTTAAAACAAAATGTGATTTGGCTTTGGTAAACAGAAAGATTCCTAGATATCAGGCGCGGCATCATCTGTTCATAATGTTAGAAAGCATGCAACTTGCCTTCTACAACAGAGTTTTACACAAGTGCAATTGCATGTGGTGTCTTCAAAATAGTGTGGTGTCTCGCTATCCCAATTTCTTAGAACTCGACAAATTTGCCCTCATTAAGAACTCTACTAAAAGCCAAAACCATACCAATACCCCAAACAAAAAAACTGACGAAGAGGCAACTGACATAACAGTAATAGACATAGATTATACCAAGCAAATTTTCACAAATCATAACAAAAGAATCCTTATATACTCTTAGTTTTTCATATGTAGAGGAGAGTGTACAAACATTGCTTCAAAAACAAACGTTTGGTTAGGAATTTGGTCATATATATACTCTCCAACTTAAGCCATAAACCAGCTGCAGTAGTCTCATCATCCACCTCATGAAGAACTTTGTTAGATGGTGACAACGTGATTACACTATGTCCTCGGTCTAAAGCGTCTTCTTCTTCTTTATGAGACCAATCTTTTGGCAATGCTTCCAAACCCTTTAGCACCTTAAGCAACCCTTGTTGAACTAGCACATTTTGTATCTTCGCACACCGAAGGCTAAAAAATCATTCATTCCATTGAAATTTTCAATATCATATTTCACTGACATATTTAAAAGTTTCATAGACATACTAGTGCAAAGCCCCAAGTCGAAACCCATAGCTCTGGTACCACTTGTGCAGAAACGTCAAATATAAAACTAATGAAGTAATACAAAAAAATACGACAAAACAAACAATTCAAAATAACACAAGGATTTATGCTGGTTCGGCATAAGCTTACATCCAGTTCGGAGATGGTAAGGAAATTCCGCTAATAATAAAAAAGAGATTACAGATAGAGTTTTAACTCTCAAACCCCAAATTTCACACACTTGACTCAATAGCTCTCACTCAAACAAAGAACAAATGGAGAAAGATAAATACATACCAATTCTCTTCCCCTAAAAGCCACAAAACTAAAACCAAAGATACTAACACCAATATCTTTGAGTGAGTAATTACCCAAAAAACCACAAGAACAACTTTCTTTCTCCTCTAAAGGTGTCGGCCTGGACTCAATTTCCGTCACCAATCGAAACCAAAAAGCATCATATGCCTTATGTACTTGCTGCTGCAAATACCCTAGCCACTCACGTAAATTATCTTCTCTCCTTCGGCCTCCCCTACGAACTTATTCTCTTTAGAAGCACTTTTCACTACCGTTCATGGATCAAGACTGGCTGTACAAGCTTGGCTTCACTCAAGTGAAAGAAGACCAGACTGAACCTACCAAAAAACATTAGCTTGATTAACTCTAAATCCTATAGCAATCTTCCAAAATCCAGTTTTATGCTGTCGCTAAATTCTTGACACAAACTCAGCACCCTCACATTGCCAAACGCATTCGAAATACTCCATTGATCTTCAGTAGTCGGCATGGCGAGCTGCAATAAAATAGGGACGCCTGAAGTCTTGATATGGTAGCGAGGAAAAATACTACTACCTTCACAATGTGGGACTTCTTTTACCTTCACATTAATGAAAGACGAGAAGATCCATTGCCTAACCACTTTTTCATTCTTGTACAACCGACCAACAACTTTTACATCTGCAAACAAAATACACGAACGTTTACTACATATACAATACACGAAATCCAGGGGAAAAAGAGAGAAACAGAAGGGTGCCAAGAAGTAGGATTAAAGTGTTTCAAATCATAAAAAGTTATAAGGTATAATTGACCATGGCATTGACGTAAAGCTTGGACTTACTCGAATGTGCAAGACGTGAACACAGAGATTGCAGGAAAGAATAATGATGGAACGGGTTGGAACTAGACAAGAAAGTGCAAACTCTGTGGAATGCGTGATATTTACGGAGCATTTTAGATTGCACATGTACACTTCACCTCAGTTTGATCCTGCATCAAGGAAAAAGGCCTCTTCAGGTTTCTATCGAGATCCAGATACAGATATAAACAGGAATAGGCATATGCTGATGCAACTCAATCATATTTAGGCATTTACTGATGCAACTCAATCATATTTAGGCATATGCTGATGCAACTCAATCGTATTTTCTTCTAACAAACAAGTAGTTGAGAACATTGTAATCTTGTAAATCCAGAAGAGCACTTTTCATTTTATTTTGTAATTGTGCATCTAGCGTAATTTGTACTCCAATTGTTTGAGTGTTATGATGTCCTGCTAGCTCCCTATAATAAGACACAATCATAACTAAAGTTAGAACCATGTGATACAAATGTGTTGAAAGCATATAAGGTTTTGATTTTTCTCGAAATATGGACTGCGAACCTGGAGGGATCAAGGATGCACGATGTCATTGTTCAAATGGCAAGTCCCCAATATCTATGTAGGGGATATGAGCTATTACGGCCCAGTCTTGTGCATTACCTGGCTTGTATCTCTTTCTTAACACTGGATAGTGATTGTATATGCGGAGTTGTGTAAGTGAAAGGGCTAAATCCTCTGGAATATATTCTAACTTAGGCAATCACGGATTTCAAGAGATTCAAGAGAGGTGAGGAATTGAAAGCCCTGGCTCGATAGGCGCCTCAGATTTGGGAAGTGTGAAATATTGACTATTATGAGAGATTTTGGGAGCAGCATCTCTTCTCCCTCTGGAGGAAAAGAGGACAGACGACGATCTACACCACTGAGCCACAACTCCTTAAGAGAGGTCAGTCTGTTCAATGTCAACCCCCATTGGGAGAGGGGCTTACAATTGTAAGGCTTCCAAACTGGAAGATGAGTAAGGTTTGAGGAAAGATCCTGTTCGAGAAATGGTGTCAAACCGTTGCAGTAAGCAATTGACAATTTCTCGAGAGAGTTGAGGTTCATGCCATGTGGAAGGGCGTCCAATTTCAAGCAACTGGTAATAGCAATGAAAAAAAGGTTGGCGGCTCTTGTTGGCAACCCTCCGCTGGGGAAGGAAACAAGACTTCCACAATTTCAAAGACAGAAAATCGAAGACTGGTAAGGTGGCATAGGCCCTTGGTTAGGGATTTAAGGTTTCCACAATCATATATATCAATGAATTCGAAACAAGTGTTATCCCGTAATAAGCTATCGCTTATTGACTCCAGTTGGTCACAATTACTCACTTCAAGGTGTTCAAGAGCTGGTAAAGATAACTGTCCTTTGGATGAAAAGGAAGTTATTGATGGACAGTCTACTATCGCCATAGTTTCAAGACAAGATGCATCCTCTTTCCTCCGACAATGGGAAGAAGATAAAGAAGACCCCTCTAGCTCCTCTTCCTCCTCATCGTCATCTAATAATTTCAACTTTTGGCATTCTCTTATAATTACAACCCTCAACCGATGGGGCATTTGGAATCCCACAAATCTGGTCAAGGAATTGCACATATCCATCGATATTGTTTCAAGAGAAGGAGGTAAAATAGCTTCTGGAATAGATAGTAGAACCTGACATTTATACATGTAAAGTGTTTGAAGTGATGTCAAACTGATGCAACCGTTGAAGTTTGGAGTCTGTTGAAATACTCAAATTGCGAAGAGAAATCAGGTATGGCCACGCGACTTCCAGGTCATTACAGTCAGCAATAGTCAACTTCTCAACCTTCCTTAATCCTGTCATGAATCCCTTAGTTTGAAATCTGAACTCTGGAACATATGTAAGAGTAATATCCTTCAGCTGTTCCAAGTCAACCCTAATTCCACACACTAGTCCTTTACACTCCTGAACATGTAACGTAGAAAGTTGTTTGTAGCCTGCAATTGAAGCCACCAATTTGTCACACTGAATAATCTCAAGCTTTTCTAATGAACCAATGTTTTCAGGTGAGCTACCCTCCAATTTGAGACACCTATTGATAGAGAGGCTTTTCAAGCTAGAAAAAAACTCCAATTCCTTGATCTCCTTGGCAAGGAAACCAATCCTTCCATCGTTGCATATCCTCAAACTCAAGAGTCTCCAACCGTGGAAACGAAAAGCTACCATTTCCATAAAACTCATGTCCCACACTTTGCACTCCTGGCATTCCACTTGACATAAAGTTCCTTGAGAAAAACCATTTGCCCAAGTGGCGGCAAGAATCCACAATTCTTACAATTCTCTAACCTTACAAGCACCATGTTAGAGAATAAAGGATCACCAACCCATGTTGAAAATTTCATACCACCATAACCTTTGATGGTGAGCTCCTCTAGATTTCCATGTGGTTGTAACATGTCAAGCACACCTTCGTCATTCTCTTATTTGTCACTCTATTCCAGCTGCAATGTATTAAGCCCTTCCTTGCTAATTAAGTCTGTTTGCCTTGCATCCTCAACATCGATCGCATTTTCTAATCTTGAGAGGCGCAATGTTCCTCGAAGAAGCAACATGGGCCCAATCTCCCTCACACTTGACTCACCACTCTTTCCCAAGACAAAATTAGTCAATGTTTGCAGATTAGTCAATTGACTTAGCTGTGGAGGCATTCCTTGCAAAGACAGCAAGTTTAAATTGCTGAGATAACGCACATTAGTCAAATTCTTCATGTTTGCAGGTAGCGCTTTCAGTTTAGAACAACTGCCTAATATCAATGTCTGTAAGCTGTAAAGCTTGCTTGTTGATTCCGGAAAGTTCACTATTAATGAGTAAGAAAGATCAAGGTACTTCATATACTTCAACTTACCAATTTATTTGGCAACTCAGTTATTTGATAGCCGTACAAAGAGAGCACCCGCAGGTATTTCAGAATTGGCAATAAATGACGAATAACCTGGCTAGGCAAATAATTATGTGGATCATCTGAAAGTGGAAGCGGTAGGAAAGTACGCAAACGTTTGACTTCAGAAAATGCCTCAAGCTTGTCAAAATTGAATTTAGAAATTGCCTCGAACTTTTTAATCCCATCATAGTTACCAGAAGTGTAAGAAATATGACGAGTTTTAGAAGAACACGTACCATTTGGTTTATCCTCGAGTCTAAAACATAACTCTCCTGCAGCCCACCTTGCAAAATCGCCAACAAGGTCATGCATTCTATATAGTGAATTGGCTTTGCTCGACTTTTGAAATAATGACCGAGATAACAGCTCTGCAAAATAGTCACCTCCTATATCTTCCATTTCTTTTCCTTCTTCTGGTAGCTGAAGCAAACCCTCTGCCATCCATAGAAGGATTAATTGCTTCTCCGCAAAATAATAGTAATTTGGAAGAATTGAGCAATAGGCAAAGCACCCCTTCAAATTTGAAGGGAGATAGTGACAGCTCAATCTTAATACCGGGAGTATGTCACTCTCATTTGATGTACTCCATAGTTTGTTGATCAAAACTTATCCCCATTCATCAATTTCTTTGCAACGTAAAAGATCACCAATGGTCCTTGCAGCCAAGGGCAGACTGCCACACCTTGCAACAATTTTGTCTCGAAGTAACGCAAAATTTGGCTGCAGAGCATTGTTATTGTCAAATGCATGTTGCTCAAATACTTTCCAACAATCATCATTAGATAAACACTGCAAATTATGAACTTTAGTAGCACCCATTGTTCTTGCAACTTTAGCGTCACGGGTTGTCACAAGAATCTTTACTTCCACGTGCTCCAGCACGAAAGGGGGACTGTAATTTCATCCACATATCAGAGTCACATGTGCCCCAAACATCATCTAGAATAAGTAAAAGCTTTTTACTTTCTAAAACCTTACTCAGGCTTTCTTGGACGTTATCGAATTCCTCAAAATGGCAGGGTTGAGATGTGATGGATTCAATAATGGTTTTTGTTACCCTTACAAGATTGAAGTCGTCAGACACAGAGATCCATACCTTAGAATTAAACTGTATCATTGTATCGTTGGTTTCCTTGACCAAAACTTGAGCAAGTGTTGTCTTCCCGACACCAGGCATGCCAACAATGGCAACTACATCATAATTGACAGTAGCAGGCTCATCTCTGGACAACAGTTCAAGAATCTTTGCTTTGTCATCATCTCTTCCAACAAAGGGTACTCCACTTAGCACATATGAACTTGGGGGCCTTCTCCATGCCTTTTTTGTAGTTGTTGTTCCAATGTATATTAAACTGAGCTCATCTTTTTGTTTAGATATTTCTTGTAACCGTTGAGTAATCTCCTTTATTTCAGAGTTCATACTAAATTGCAACAATTTAACTTTAGGAATGAGGCTTCGTACCTTACTTGTGCCAGCCCGTTGTTTCTCCTTTGGCTTGCGTCGCAACATCTCAGTGGAAATCTTGTCGAGTATGTCCTCCACATCATAAGCCAAGTTTTTTAGATCATCCAGCCATAATTTGACTGCCTCACTGATTAGTTGCTTCTCTTCCGCATCATTCAGCACCTCTGCAATTGCTACAATATTTTCCTCCATTCCATCAGCTTTTTGTCGATTCCTCCTTGGCAGGCAAAGTTGAGGAGGTCACGAGAGGCCAACTTTTCGAGCAGAACATGAAGGAATGCAGCTACAAAGATCTCTCCAACTGCCATAGTTGGATTTGTCCGTAAGAAAGCAAACACAGTTTGTAAAAGTGACGAGCATACAAAATCAGACAATCAAAAGAAGTGAAGCGTTCTCGAGACAAAGCTTGCAATAACAACATTGAGCACTGAAAATTGCACAAGTACAACTTATTGTTGGAACCCCCAGTCCCACATCGGACAGAGGGAGAAGAGAATAGTGCTTTAAATAGAAATACCCCTCTCTAACTAACATCGAGGCCTTTTGTGATAAAACCCCACACCTGAGGATTGTGCAGGTGATTAAGTGGGGACAGTATCGGTGTTGTTGGAGTGGGCCCTCGGCCCGTCGACCTGAAAATTTCTACATGGTATCAGAGCCAGGAGGCGGGCCCGTACTGCCACGTGATTGGGTGGGTCCCCGTTGGCCCCGCGTGATTGTCCACGTAGGCCAAAGATGCCACGTGTTTGGGTGGGTCCCCATTGGCCCCACGTGATTGGGTGAGTCCAGACATGGCTCCACGTGGTTGCCGATGTGTGGAAATTCACGTGTGACCCATAAGTGGGGTCTCACGTGCGGGGGAGTGTTGGAACCCCCAGTCCCACATCGGACAGAGGGAGAAGAGAATAGTGCTTTAAATAGAAATACCCCTCTCTAACTAACATCGAGGCCTTTTGTGATAAAACCCCACACCTGAGGATTGTGCAGGTGATTAAGTGGGGACAGTATCGGTGTTGTTGGAGTGGGCCCTCGGCCCGTCGACCTGAAAATTTCTACACTTATGACGGCCATGTTCATTGCAAGTTTCATTACTTAAATCGTTTGAAAGAATATCGTTGCCCTTTTTTATTATGTTTCGGGTTTTAGTTGTTCCTTGTCCCTGTCAGGTAATATAACAAGCTGAATAAACCACCGCGTCTATGCAATTGACTTTGTATAAACAAAAGTATAGACATGTTCTGTGATGACATGTTCTGTCTGTTTGAAAGAAAACAGTTAAGTGATGACATGCTCTGTTGGCGCCACACAGACCTAAAGTAGAAAGAAAACAAAAATCATAACTATTTTGAAAGAAAAATTAAAAATCAATGTAAAAATGAATAAAATGTCAAAGCCTCGACCTTACAGAGTTACTCGGCGACACCAATTCGCGGTTGTCAATCAATCTCTCCAAGATTTGGTAGTGAGTACCAATCGAGTTTGCCGCACCATTTCGGTTTCAATACGATCTCACGTACGAGGTGGGCGCGGGCAGATGCGTTGTATCAGGAGGAAAGGCTGAAGAGAGTGTAGTATTGTGTCGACGGGGGTTGCCGGGTTGGTGGGGGTTTAGAATTTTCTTTCTTTTTTGTTTGTTTAGGGATAATCATTCTAGTGTCTTCGAGCGAGAGTAACTAGTTCAACGCCATGTGACATTTTGTATCCAATACTGAGTTTTCATGTACAAATTTTTTTTTACACAGTAATGTATTATTGAATCGAGACGCCACGTGATAATAAATTTGTTTTAAAGGGCATACCAAGTCAAAATCACCCAATTTCTTACCTATTTACAACATTGCCATTCTCCCTCGCCAAAACGCAAATGCGTTAAGCGTACTCACATAAATTACTGTAACAAACAAAACACAAGGAAAATTTGCAAGGGGAGTCCAAGAAAATGTGCACAACAAGAAACTAAATGAAGCAATGTAATTCCAATCTGAATTCATATAATACACAAATGTGTTAAGCTGAGCCCGACAGGGCTTTAAAAACTACGGAAAACGAAGTAGATGATTTCAAATTACGATCGGTTAACACATCGAATGTCTAAAGTTTTGAGCAAACTTGAATGCATAAAATTGTTCTCCATGCCAACCCTTCAACACCAAGCCTAGCATGATCACTATAAATAGAGGTCATGAGGTGAGGGTTAGAGCATCAGTTCTAAACAGCCTCGAGCCGAAATTCCTAAGTGGAATTTCTCCTTGACACCATTCACATATCTCTCCCTAAAGTTTATTTCTACAAGGAGTAGGCGAGAGAGAACTACGTCGGTTTGATCCATGTGCTAGGGCACATGGTACGTAGGCAATCTAGCTGGGCTAGAAGCAACTGAGTCCTACAAGTGGTGGCACTCTTGCTTACAAACAAAGAAGGCTTGTAAGAACGAGATGGAAGTCTGGGATTCGTTAATTCCACTAGGTACCCTATAAGAATTCCATATTATATGCTTGATTTTCTAACATCCTATGTTAAGCTCCTTGAGACCAAGTCAAAAGAGAAAGGTAACTGGAAAGATATTACCATAGAATTTCATAACAAGTAGACAGAATAGTATTTGTTCAAGAACATAAATGTTTAGCTAGGCTCGATCTCAATGATGAGCCAGAATGGAACTTAATAATGACATAAATCCACTTAAACCCTAACTGAAGTTGAAATAAAGCCACCACCAATTATCATACTAAATAACAAAAAGCACTACTGATATCACCACAATCCTTCATCTGCTTATATATCTTCACAAGGTCTTGACTGTTGATCATCCAAAGGAATGTCCTCTTAGCACAATATCCTCATTCAGAATGATAGATCAATCTGTCCAGCCCGTTTGTAATCCAGAAACGATCGCCACATCAAGCTTTTCAGGATCAGGTAACAATGTAGTGTCCTTCAAGAAATAAAAGATGATTAAGCGGCCAGTGTTTACAAAAGATACAGTGTTGGATATGATATGAAGGGGGAATAAATACAAACCTTGGTCAGGGCTGAGAATTTTTTGGAGCACTTCTCCGGAGCAGCAGTTGTAACTTTGGTGCAGGCTTTTTCACCCCCACCTCTTTGTGACCCAGATGCAATAACCACATTAAGCCTTTCGGAATCAGATGATAATGCAATGTCCTTCAAGATATAAAAATTGAAAAGAGGACCAGTCATTACAAAAGACTTAATAATATGATGTAGAGAAAGAAAAATTATAAACCTTGGTCGAGCCTGAAATTGTTTTGGAGCACCGCTCAGGAGCAGCAGCAGCTGCCACTACCCCATGCGCGCTGGTGCAGGCTTTTTCACCCCTGCTTTCCTGCACCAGCATTGGGGAAAAGTTCAGTAATTCCTATTCTGAATCATAAGCAGCCTCTTCAACATCGTAAACTTCTCCATCCTCATCCACTTCATCATCACCAAACTCGTCAAACGACCTTATATCAAGCTGGTAGCGGAGAAGCCCTCCAATACCCCCAAAACCTCGACAGAATTGTGACCCCTCTTGTGATTTGTTGGTGACAAACTCAAGAGCACAACCAAAACGCTTGTACTCATCAGCAAACCATTCCAACAGTGACATCTTCTCCTGAATCTTTAGCTCTCCTTGGCTGGCAGGATCTTGAAAGTTGCTCATATTTTTTTCCTGCTCCTTGTCGAAATATTTCACAACAATCTCATCAGTCTTTGAATTCTTTAACACATACCTATCGATCTCCAGATTTTCCCACACAATAAGTGTCTTAATTGCTCCCATCTCCAAAGCCTTTAGCGTGTCCTCTACGCCAACAACATACTTTCCTGTATCCTCATTAACCTCTTTAAAGTATTTTCCTAATAAGATCTGCTCCTGTATAAATTTCACATTGGACAGAAATTCAGCAGACAACTTAATAGCCTGATTGAATCCATCCACTCCTCCATAAGATATATCCACCACTTTCAGTATTTTCGCCTGCAGACGGGGATCAAACTTACCCGACTCACTAAGCTTAGTTTTGAAATCAGCTGATCCAGCCAGTATTAATCCTTTAACATTGGGCTGGTTAGTGGCTGGATTAATAAACAAACTTTTGGCAAGCTCTGCTGTCTTGATAACATGGTTGTCGCGTGCTTCCTCTCCAAGGCGAGCAAATCGAAGAGCTGATTGCCCACCTCTTCCGTGTTTCTTTGGCAGGTCAATGCGATACTTCTGAAGAACCTCCCTTACGTTACCACTCAATGTCCCGAAAAGAGTCCCCCTACCATCCATGATAATGAAACCAAATTTTTCACCACATTCTAAGAGTTCATTCAGAGCTTCGGTATGGAACTTGTTGTCACAGAGGTAAAGAGACACATTGATCGGCTTCAAAGGCTCGAATTCAAACGTAACCTTCTTTTCATTGCCATCTTCGGTGGCAATGGTTCCTGTAAACAGAGCAAGGCCATTTGGAGGAACCTTGTTATAGAGCTTGAGCCGCTGCTGAGCTGATGTAATTGCACCTTGAACAGACTGACGATTCACCCTACTTTTGATATTCGAAGCTGATCCTAATTCATCACTAAGCATCTTCGTAACTCGAGGTATTTTATCACGGGGAGGAATGATGAGAGAAATCATACTGGTGCCATTGCCCCTTGCAGCTTCAAGTCCCTTGATCAGTTTCTTAATTCTCCATAGCTCAATGTTCTTATCAGGAGTCTCATGAGCATCGGCCATCATGAAGATGGATCGAGTACGAAAACAGTTGAAGCAAACAATTAACAGCCTGACCTACAACTAAAAATTATACACACACAATTAGCACAACGACTTCAAGATCGAACTGAATTTATCAGAAGAAGATAAAGTCACCAAAAACAAAAATTGAAAAAGTAAAAAACTCAAATACAAAACCCGTACGGGAAGCCAAGCAATTAAAATTGGAAGGAGAGGAATAAGCATTAAGCAAGCAGCATATAATTATATGCATGAGATTATTAGATGATATTCACAATCCATCCCTACAAACTTATGGATGATATCTTGCCACAAAATTAGGTTATACTGATCCAGCCAAAAATTAAAACAATTATAGCCATGAATCTTGATTGCAAATAAATTCCTGATCACGTCTACCGCACCCATTCTCGAAATTTATTGCATTCAAAGCCGGCCTTGATGGCAATCGAAACACTATGTT